GGAGTGCAATTCAGGCACAGCTCACTCCAGGTGGCAGCATGGTATAGCCCCTGCTCCCAGCACTGTCACACCCACATCAGCACTGGGAGTGGGGCTCTGCCCTGCTGCCGCTTGCCACCTGGTGCGGACAGGAGGGCAGGATACAGGCATGGCAGCACTGGGAGCATATTTTTCCCAGATAAGTTCCATTAAACAGTTCCTCGGTCAAACTTAGCACTAGGAATCACCAACCAGTTGTGCCAATAGAGCGGTCACACTAAACCCTTCAATCAGAAAAGCAGACCGAGCAATGGGAAAACGGCATAGCTTCATGCATCTTTCCAAGCTCCATTTTGAAAATATCTCCTTAAAATTCCTTCTGTACCTGATGGACTCCAACTAAGGCCCCACAGTGGGAATCATTATGATCCTCATCACCCCCATGAAAGGGACAGACTTAGAAGGCTATTTATTTCTATAGCAATAGCTTCCTAAACCAAAAAAAAAAATCACCTGTTACCATTAAGTGCAGCATCTGCAGCTCCATAGCCTAGTAGTCTTCTTGTATCCATTGACTACCTAATGCATTATGAAGTGGTAATGCATTGTAGAATAGCCAGGTGCTGGTATGTCTAAACCAGCAGACACAGAAGCAAATCTGACTTCTGGAGAGGCATCTTGATGTTTTAAAAAGGCACTGTGGTTGCAAAAATTATCCCAGTCCCACAAGTCCCAGTTTTTAACCACAGATTTTTTAAGACTCCTTCGTATACTTCCTGATTTCACTTTTAAAGACAAGCCTGCACAAGTTTGCTTTGACAAGAAATGCTGAATCAACTCATATTCTAAAATGCACTGAAAAAGGAGACATCCTGCAGAAAACCATCCAATTAGGTGGCTGTGTCCAGCCCACTGGCCATTTTATTGCTTCTCAGCTTAGTATTTTAAAAAACATTTTATATATGGAACAGGCAGTGAGTTCTCATTATTTTTTAAATGAAGCCAGGAGGATCTAACCCAAATTACAGCAAGCTAAAACAGGCAACTTAAGTGATGAAGACTGTATTACTTACTCTCCTTTAGAGAGCCTTCTGGTTTATCTGTCCTCTGATCAAGGTGAGCCTGACAAAGCTGAAAATTATACTGTGCGACTCGATTGTATGGAGATTGTTTTTCCCCAGTGAAATTATTTATTTTTAGCATCCCATGATGAATAGACGTCTCTCTACTCCAATACACGGCTCTCCCTGTGTAGCCAAAGTTTCTCACTGCACATAGCAGGAGATCCCTCGAAGGTTGGAGACCAAGAATACTGGCCAGCAGGTCTTCTTTGCGACTCAGAGACAATTTGCCTCATAGGAGTTTTGACACCACATAGGCACAAATTTGATTTGTAGCTGTCCTGACTATTTTATTATCCCAAAGTCTTGCAGGAAAAGGTGGGATGGCAAATTTTACAAGTTTCTCAGATGAATAGTTTTCCTTTCAATCTGTGGGTTTAACTGCAAAAGATACTGGAATATTTTCCAGCTTTTGAGTGGGAGGAAACTCCACTTTCACCTTTGTTAGATCTTGCTCGGTAGCATTTTGGCTTTTTTGCTCTTTAGATGCTTCCAAAAGATGCTGCACGTTAAGTCTAAAAATGAGGCGAGGATCTGGTCCAGAAAGCATGGGGCATTTGCAGCTCTCTCTCAATTTAAGAGCCTGTGAAAACAGAAAAAAATCAAATCAAACTTACTCAAGTAGCATTGTAGGCAAAGAAAATTTGGTAATTCATAGATTCATAGATTCATAGATTAAGGGTCGGAAGGGACCTAGTAGATCTTCTAGCCCGACCCCCCGCCAGGGCGGGAGAACAACAAAAACCCCAAAAAGAGAAATGGGACTCAAACGAGTCCAGCTAGGTGGGCATCCAGCCTCTTCTTAAAGACCCCCAGGGTAGGGGCCAGCACCACTTCCCTTGGAAGTTGGTTCCAGCTCCTAGCCGCCCTAACGGTGAAGTAGTTTTTGCGGATGTTCAATCTATACCTCCTCTCCAACAGCTTGTGCCCATTTCTCCTTGTTATGCCAGCGGGCGCTAGGGGAAACAGCGTCTCCCCCAAACCCCCATAATTCTCAGAATTGTCCTGACTTACAGCTGTAACTCTAACCATTAGGTGCTGCATTAGGGAGAAATGACAGACAAAAGTGGTTCATACCAGCAGTGCAGGATGGCTTTAGATGTGCTTCATCAAGGAATTCAGTGCTGCTCTTTAGAAAGGGAAGGGAAGGGAAGAAACATTCACTTATAGTTGATCTATGCAACAGACCAAGACTGCACTGTGGATTGCACATTGCTATAACAGTTTGTGCTCCTCTACCATCTTCCTAAATCAGTAGGTATGCAGGCCCTGCTATAAGATTGTGAGTGAGGGATGAATTAGGAGATTCCCAAGCATCTGTAGGGAAGGGTTTACTGCTTTTAAAAAAAAAAATTCAGAACCTTCAAAAAGACTACCATGAACAGACCACTGCTGCAGTTTTTAAAAAAGGAAGAGGAGTATAGTTTAATATTTCCCTCTACAAAGAGATTCTGCAACCATTTTTCCCCCTTAACAAAAATCCTTTCATTTCAGTAAAGGAGTGCAAGTTCTCTAAACCTAAAAAAACCAAACAGGATTTCATGGCAGCCGCAGGCCTTTGGAAAAAGACAAGCTCCAGTGACATGAGAAGTGTTTTCTCATCTACACAATCTGATTCACCACAAGCAGAGTTCTGGGTTCAGGGCACATATATTTCTCTTGGTTAGAAAAAAAGTCAAGTCAAATTATGAATAAAAACAGACGTTTGATATTGGTTGTTTTGCAAGATGATAATCCAAATATTCACCAAATTTCACTGTACGTATCCCACTGCTTCAGTGACCAATTAATTTCTAAACTGACATTTGTAATGACAGACCTAAGGGTGTTCTCTTGTTCCCCTGCAGAACATAAGCTGCTGCAAGCCTGCATCAATGTCAGGCAGTGTTATTCATGGCAAGAAAAATATATATAAAAATTTAGGTTATAACTGGGAAAGAACAATATAATCCTCTTAAACTAATATAACAATTTAAATCTCCAGTTTTCTAGCTACACAATGCCTATCTTACTTTCCTGGGCTCGCCTATCTGAAATACTGGAGTTCACAACATTAGAAGTCCATGCAGTATCTCAGGGATAATATTCTCACCAAGTGGAGGTGAAGACCTCCACTTCCTTACTATACCGGGAGCAGGAGTCAGCAACATATGACCCACGGGCCAGATCCAGCCCATGAAGTCACTGAATCTGGCCTGAAGAACAGGGTAGTTTTGCCTGCACCTGTGCCACTGGCGCTTCTCCCGGTCCCCACCTTGGCACAGGTGTTTTGTGCCAGTCACACCTGTTTAAAAAGCCTTCCAGAAAGAATATAAGTTACTGTAGATATAACATCCTGATGCAGTCATTCCCCCCGACCTGAAGTTGAGTGTGATACTGAAGGTACAAATCCAGCAACCCAGGGCTACTTAGAAAACTCAGTCTCCAGCAACCAACCACATCAGTTTACATGAGAGGACAACATATAGCCGTTCCCAATGAAATTCATACAGCTTACCAGTATCACATTAAGACTATGTTTCACAGACTGGAAAGAATGATCTTAGCCAGAATAAATGGCTGAGAAGCAATTACTAAAGCCAAAGACCCCAGAAAGAACCAAGGCCACTATCCCAAAATTACAGACTTACTGGAATATGTGGATGTGCCTGGGGATTGCAGGCATATTGCTACCATCTTTCAGAGGCTAATATTAAGACAAGAGTACTGCACTGCACTTCAAAAGAGAAGCCATTCAAAATGAAGATCAGCTGGTATTTCGTGTTACCATAGGCATAGAAATAACTGTACTTGCTGACTAATGCGAGATCTATGAATCTGGCTTGTAAATTGGTTCAACCTTAGTCGCATACAGCAGCACTGGCTGGAGCACAACTGTCTGTGCAGCTGCTTGGCACCTCACCCTCCTCCTCTCAGTCAGTTATAGATGGTCACTGGGGCAGAGGGCTGTGCGCAGGCCCTGGGCACAGCATAATTTTTAGCCATGTGTAATTCCATCTCTGATCCTTCCTGGTCATTTCAAGTTCACCACTTCCAGGCCCCAAGCCAACACTGCCTTCGGGACAGGATTGCATGATTCTACTGTTCTCAGACCAGGTCATGGATTGCAGTCCTCTGTACCAAATGTGAGTACCTCAGCAGTTTGACATGTCCCAACCCCAAAACTCTGAAGATAAAAAAGAAAAAGCATGACCTTAAGGATAAAAATCAGAAAGGCTAATTGGCAGAAACAGTTCCAAGACCAGGGAAAGTACAGATCCATTACTTAGAGGAAGGAAAGCAAATACAATGAACAACACGGGAGACTGAAGTATTCAGCTCCTTCTTTGCTTGCGCTTTCAGAAAAAAAAAAGGTAAATTGTGACTAAATCCCCAACACGATTTTAACAAGGGACAAAAACACTGGCCAGTATAAGGAAGGAGCAGGTTAGCTAAGTGAGCCACTTGGAAATTAGCAAAACCCAATGAAATTCACCCAGAACACTTAAGAAAAAAGCCACAGCCATCTCTGAACCATAAGAAAGTATCTGCAAGACCTCATGGATGATGGGAGAAATCTCAGAGGACTAGAGAAGGGGAAATGTGGTACCTATTTTTAAAAAGGAGAAGCCAGGGAATTAAAAACCAGTCTGCTTAACTCTGATACCCAGAAAAGTAGGAGAAACAGTTATTAAACAATCAATTTATAAGCACTGAGAGGATAATAAGGTGATAAAAAACACAACACGGACCTGACAAGAATAAATCATGTCAAACCAATCCAATTTTCTTTTCTGACAAGCTAACTGGCCTAGTGGATATGGGGAAGCAGTAGATATGGTATCTTGACTTTAGTCAGGCTTTTGACATCATCTCACATTCTTATAAGCAAACTCAGAAAATGTGATCTGGATGAAATCACAACTGGTTGGCAAGTACTCTCAAAGAGATCTTTCTCAATAGTTCACCATTAAGAGGACAGCTTTTCAAGCAGGTTCCATCAGAGGCTTGGATTTATTCAATATTTTTACTAAAGACTTGAATGATGGAGTAAAGAGGACACAACATCTGTGGATAACACTAGCTGAAAGGGGATTGCAGGCATTGGGTAAGAGTTTTTATCTGGATAAATTAAAGAAATGGTCAAAAAATGAACAATCAGAAATTCAAAGATGATGCAAAGTATAGCGCTAAGGAAAAATAAGTCAAATGCACTGACACAGAAGTGGGAATAACTGGTTGAGCTACACTACTGCAGAAAAGAATTTGTGGGTTACATCAGACTGCAAACTGATTCTGAGTCAATAATGTGATGTTCTGGCAAAAAAAAACTGCAATTATCATTCTGGGACATCTTAACGCAGAGTAACATGTAAAACATGCGATTGTTTTGCTCTGGTGGAGGCTGGTGAAAGCTTGCCTAACATATCCAGTCTGCAAACTGGTAAGAAGTCAGGAGACAGCAACAAAAATAAGAGGTCAGAAACCTGACCTGTGATGACAGGCTGAAGGACCTGGGTTTTGTGTATAAAAGAGAAGACTTGGAGGCACACGATAATAGTCTTTACATTTGAAGGGGGGGAGAAACTACTGTAAAAATGACATTGATCAATTGTCTCCCATGTCTACTAAGGAAAGGATAAATATCCAACATATCTAAATCTTCTTTTGCAAGTTACCAGAAAATATTTGCTAACTACAAGGCAGTCTAACACTAACACAGACCTACCCAATAATGTTGGGGAATCTCCTTCATTGAAGGCTTTTAAAAAATAAGCTAAAAACACCATTGTTAGAACTATTCTAGCCTTACTTATCCTATCTCTGTGCAGGGGGAAAAATTAGATGATTTCTTCGGGTTCCTCCCAGTCCAATGTTTCTACAATTCCATTTCCTCCAGAGTGATGTCAGTGGTACCACTTATTAAAAAACATACCTTACACCAAAACAAGAAAATGGCAAGAAAGACTAATCTTAAAATAATAAAACATGTTCTGGATGTTTAGATTTCTATATATCTTTTTCAAATGCATGAAGGTAGACTCCAGATTCTCAAACCTCTGCATCCCAAAACCCCTATAGTCGACCTGGCATAGTCTGTTCCCTCAGCTCACAAACCATGTCTCTCTCCCACCCTAAGGGGGGAAAAGTCCTTTAAAAGATGCTTAATCCTTTTAATCACTCCCAACTCATTCCCTGAATGCAGTCGTTTTAATTGTTTACAGCCCTTTAACTTCTTAGTTCCTGCCCTTGGCAGAACAAGGCTTGTAATTTGTTGGGAAAAAACTGTAAACTCCTCAAAGCTGGTGGGGCACAAGGGATATGCGGCTTGTCTGGGACCATGGACTTCTTGGTGACAGTCCTGCTTGAATGCTTATAGACATATAATAGTCAGTCCACTACTCTCATGTAGGTCATCTCTCTCAATAACTAGGTTACATATCAATACACTTAGATTACATAGCGCTGTGAACATTAAAGCCACCTTTAAAAGGAAAGCTGCAGTAAAAGACGTGTCACAGCTGCTCTAACGTTATCATGATAGATTGAAAGCTTTTGACCAGCAATCAGATAATACAACATTTCAAAGAGGGAAAAAAATCA